GTATAATTATGATGATTCACATGTCCATTTCGTTGTGGTTTTGTTAAGTGCACACATTCTATTGTCTGTGACCTAAGCACACATCTCTATTGTTAAAATAGGCATATCTAGTCATGCATGCCATTGTTTGTATATTCTTTTAACTCTGACTGGGTTCATCTGGTGTCGTATATTATTTTATTTATCGCAGTGGCATTTTTAAAAATTTTGTTATAATTTAATTAAATCTCTGAATTCAAAAATTATTTTTATTTGAATCAATAATTATTCGTTGTGATTTTAATTCCGATCTGAATTATTTTTTAATAATAACAACTCTTAATTCTATATCCGTGCCCATTTTCTAATCCAAAGTGGCCGCCAAAATAAGGTTTAAAGGGTGGTGGTTATGCTGCATCATGTTTGGTATGGACTCAAGCGACATACATAAAATATAAACGATTGTTTACATAATATTCGAACACATGCTGTGCATTGACCACAGCCCTTTAACACAACAAAGAAATCACAAAATTATTGTTTCTCTCGAAACAAGTTCAGTTACACTCAAGTTTTATTTGATTTTTGTCATGTAATTGATGTCAAAATACCTAAAATTAGCTTTTAATACCGACCTTAATTTTTTGTATGTATATATGGACTGCTAAAACCACCTCCCCTACCCACCACTGAACTCCCTGTACTTCCCTGCAATGTTTTGATTTGCCTAAAATGTGTCATAGTGAAATTGAAAGCAGTTTAGAGTAAATGTAGACCATGCCTGGTAGGCACTTAAATTGATAGATGCTATATGTGTCAGATGTGGGGGTTTATATGTGAATGAATTGCAAGGCTTTCAGAAAAGAACTTTAATCCACAGTTGACCTGTTTTATAAATTGCCTCTAGTCAATAATGTTAGATTATTGGGTGGTTTCTTTCATGGTGATTCACCACTAATACATTTTACAACCTTAATCCATTTCTTTCTCCGACACAGCACCACCTCTCTATCTCCATTTCAAATTTCTGTCTCGTTGTTTTATCCCCAATATAGTGTGTAAGTTGTAAAGGAATTCAATGTTTCTTTTTCTATTTGTTTAGATCCACACAGTTTATTGTTGGACCAAAGAAGTGACAAAATGGAAAAACCAAGAGGCAGACCGTGTTCAGAACCAAATCCTTACCAAAGTAAGACATTACGCTATTAGAATTGTGATCTTGTATTGACGTTAACATTTTGTTAAAAGCCCACTAAATTTTGAGCAACTTGGCATCCCCCAAAAAATCTCAGTAAGCTACCCTGTTTGGGAAACTGACCTAAGTGTATTTCCCTGTATGTTATTTATGTATAAGCTACAATAAATCCTGTAATGCATGCATTGCTGTGCCCAATTCTGCCTCGTGTATCTGCTGACACAACAAGGATGTATGTGAACGCCATGGCAACATAAGGAAACGAGTCCCCCCTACATGTACAAGGTCTGAACAGATGAACATACTTGCTGAATGTGGATCATTCCCGAATGCTTCCCAATTGGAAAATGATTCAAATAAAACTTAGTAATATTGTGGTCTATAGATATATATGAAATGCACAATTCTGTGACTTCAAATTAAAAATTAATTTATGCAAATGCTCAGTTATTGTTTGTTAACCTTTTCACCACCAAACTTTCTCACCCAAATTTTTCTGCACCAGGTACTACCATAGACCTTGTTTTTTCTGTACATCATGATTCACAGTATATATAGGTGTTTTCTGCCGAAAAAGCTTATATGATCTTACAATTTAGCATTCATTTATATGGGAATACTATCTGTGGAAAAAACATTTGGTGACATCTAGTGAAAAAATAGTATGGGTTATTCTATTCCATGGAATAATGTCTTTACATTGATTTCCATTTTGGCATTCTGTCATGTGATTTTCTCAAAAACCCTGATTTGTACCAGGTAAAAACACCCATAGCACTTACTCCAATCTATAATGAAATGGTAATTTTTAAACAAAATTTTGTGGTAAATCATATTTAATAATTTGAAATACCTGTGTGGGACATTACCTTGTGGTATATTGTAGTAAACTTGACAGTGTGGCACTTTCCTTTGTTGTTGTTTCACGATTGTTAATGACTTTATTGTGTACAGATAACTTTTCATGGGAAGATTACTTGAAAGAAACCGGCGGTGTTCCAGCCCCACATACTGCCTTCAAACAGGTAATTGGTTGTTAAGTTGTGGAATTGTAACCATCTTTGTAATAGTTTTGTGATGATAATTCTAGATTTAACTATTGACAGATATTGAAGGATCTACCATTTCTAATGTCTTTCTTGTTATTTTTTGTCCTTCCTACAATAATTCACATCATGCATTCTATTTAAATGTTACTCTGTTTGAAATATTCAGTGTTTATTAAAATGCGTATGGATAATCACAAGGCTGTGTGGGATCCCAATGAGAACGAGCAGCTCTACATTCAAAGACCTACATTATATGGTTAAATAATAGTATGTTACCATAGTTACCTGTGGAAATATCTCATTCAATCGACTTGATTCCTCAAAATATTTTTAATAATTATAATAATTCACTCGGTCTTCCTTAGCAATAACAATGCAAGTTACTAGAACTGTATAAGCAATATTGTATCATAACTGACATTACTCTGAGCCGACTATATCCACTTTCAATACCAAGTACACCGCTGTCTCCCATCAATATAAACTGCTCAAACAAATCAACAGATATTGGGGGATCAGCCATTTTTGATGTTTTTTTGTTTATTATTTGTCCTTATGTAATACATTCCTGCATTTCTGTGCGAATTCTGTTTCGAGAGTGTGCTAAAATCATCTAACCGAGGAAAACTGCAAAAATGCAATGTTCGCTCTATGACATTTACATGTACTTGCACATAGTAAACACGAGTATCATTAATACAGAGAATTAAAAAATGAGAGACCTTTTTGCTGTACAGGAAACAACTGTACATCTAAGTATAATCTTATGAAAAATACTCAGTACACACTGAGTATTAATTTTATAAATATAGTCCATCTCTAATGGTCAGTCAAACAGAGAATTCAGTGTTAAATTTGGTGTCTGGATGACGGCATAAGTTGTTGAAAATTAAATCACAACTGAATTTATAGAATTGCTCGATGATATTTTGTGATTGGCAATAAAACTTCTGATGCTGATGTCTCATAAATATCATAGATGTTGCATTTATTACAGTAAATATATTAACATGTCAACGCTTTTGAAACTAAATTTTTTCTGACAATACAACTTGTCTTTTTTTTTCTGTCACTCCAGCCTTCTTCACCTCCTGCAAATGAGTTCAAAGTTGGAATGAAACTCGAGGCGCAGGATCCCCGAAATATCACATCAACTTGCGTAGCTACTATCGTCGGGTTACAGGGTCCACGTGTACGTTTGCGACTAGATGGCGGTGACAATAAAAATGACTTTTGGCGATTAGTTGATTCCAGCGATATCAAACCAATAGGATGGTGTGAAAAACATGGCGGCTTACTGCAGCCACCGCTAGGTAAGAACTCTATGTTCATATACTGCCCTCATGTGTTTGAAAGGATATCTTCTTTCAAATATTTCAAGGGTTTTCAAGTGGTTTGGCTAAAATCAAGAGCATTTAGTTAAAAATGCTTCGATAAGTCACAGAGACTGTGGTCGGTATAATGATATATGAAATATATAAAGCGAGGGAGTCATTACCTGCGCATGCGTCAGATGGCCGTAGCATGTCATTGTTTACAAACAAGCATCTACCCATAAGGCTTTGCGTTTTTAGTGTGTGTTGTTATCGTCGCTTGGGACTCATCAGACTCTCTCACTTTAATTACAATCTCTAACTCAACAGTTGTCTACTGCCCTTAATAACATTTTATTTTATTTTCCAGGTTTTCGTATGAATGCATCGTCATGGCCAATGTTTTTATTACGTACACTAAATGGTGCTGAGATGGCTCCTCTCAAAGCTTTTAAAAAGGTACATGTAAATAAATATTTAGCAATTACACTGGGTATGTTGTTGATACATGATAGTGTATGCATGCTTTCGTTTTCATTCTCACAGAGTTGCTAGGACCGATTCTGTTCAAACTTTCAATATTGGTTTACTGAGGCTTGAAATTCTTTATTTTTGAACCAAAATGTCAACCTGTACATGTATTTGGTACAGTATGGGCCAAGCAGCACAGCAGAATAAAAAAATTGGAATTATTAATGAATTTTCATAAATAAAGTTATGATACCTGTCCTATTTTCATTTTCAATGTTACCGGAAACTCACTTATTAATTTTATTTCACCTTATTCAGTACTGTGAACCAATAGTGTTTTTCATAGATTTTATATAGTTGGATCTAGCGTCATATGGTGTACAGAAATAAACTAATTTCAGTTTGTTATTTTACACCTTCAGGAGCCCCCAACCCCCAAATCCAATTTATTTGAAGTAAATATGAAACTGGAAGCGGTTGACAGGAAGAATCCGCACCTGATATGCCCAGCAACTGTTGCAGCCGTCAGGGACAACCAGATATTCGTCAGTTTTGATGGTTGGCGTGGGGCGTTTGATTACTGGTGTGATTACGATTCACGCGATATATTTGCGTGCGGTACTTGTTCAATGGCTGCTATACATCTCCAAGCACCTGGGCAGAAAGGTAATATATTTATAGTCGTACATTTTCGTTAACTAATCGACGAAAACACCACAAAATAAGTGAGATGAACACAGCTTCAATTTTCAATGACGCGAAGCTGATGCCACAATGATGCCATGCTGAGGCGACAATGAAGCCATGCATAGCCGACAATGATGCCACAAATGCAAAAGCTTACGCGATAACTGTACTGTAGTAAGCCATTGGTGGGTGTGACAATTGCATAATTTTGGGCCAAGAAAAGCAGATTTGGTTTGAATTTCATTTCTACACCTATTAGTGTGGTTATTGCTGATCTGGAACAATACTTAAATATGTGTGGTTTGTACTGTTTAGATCATACCCATCTTCCGTATTTACAGCCAATGTCACTGATTTTTAGTTTATATGTGCTTTAATTTTTAAGATGCACTTCTAATGGAGCAAATGTGTATGTAAGAGGGCATATAATATAAGGTTATTATGAGGATACCTCAAAGTATGCACAAAGACAGTACAGCGGCAGTATCGGCTGATGCGCAGCGGAGGTCGATGCTACAGAGTACTGTCTGAGTGCACACTTTGAGGTATCTTTGTAATAACCTCATCATTATACATCTTTTTCTTCCAAGGATACATCATT